AAGATGTTGCATTTAATTTTTTGAAATGGAATGCTCTGTGTATTTTATCATATTTGTTCAAAAAATTAGAGAACATTAGATTTTTGGGATATCAATTTGGGATTCAGAACATGCTTAATAGTGAGTTTACACATGCATGGATTTAGTGGCGCCAATAAAAACTGGCGCGCCAGTAAAATTAAATTGCATGTGTAAACATCAACTGGCATACAAGTTGAAACCATGCATGCATGGATCGGAAAAGTCTGCACCCTTCTGAAATTACTGGCGCCAGTGATGAGTCTAAAACATGTAACCATGGCAACATAGGTGAGTGTCCATAAAAATACAAAATTTTTTAATGTCAAATTTAGGTTATGTTTCATTGCATTCAAATTAAATCCCAATTACGTTAACACATTCAACGATAACGTATAATTATTCACCTTAAACCTAGAATATATCTATTTTCGTTTCGGTTGAGGTCCTAATTTGTGTATATAGTTGTAGTATACTTTAAAAATGAAACTGGCGTGTCACTTATTTTTTACATGTGCCACGCTAGTGGCACATGTAATGTAAACCTTTACTCGCGTGCAAGTAGAACTGGCGCAACAACTGGCGCCACTAAATCCATGCATGTCTAAACTCACCTTAAGGTTAAAATCGCATATTATTTGTATTGTGCTGCTTTAGAGAAAATGTTCTTTTCAAAAGGCTGATGTGGGTGGATGTACACAAGAAAGATGTGGATTTATTCTTTATCGAAAGGGATGGTGACGTGGAGACATTCATTGAGAGGTCTGTTAATCGATGGCGGGTTTGCTTTACCTAGAGGTTAGGTTGTAGCCTTTAGCAATATGAGGGATCCTCTTGTCTTATTGGTTATGTAACCTTGTTTTTGAATTGCTTGTCAGTCTCTGTATTTAATATGTTGTTTTGCCTTTGTTTTAGTTTCTACAAATAGCATCATGTCTATGCCATTTTTTTTGTATATAGTTGTAAATTAAGTGTTTCTTATTGTTAAAGCTGTTAATATTTGCATATATGACTTTTATAAATTCTTTTCAATTTCTGATAGTTGCTATATGTATCCAGGTTCTCTTGATTTTGTCTCTGCTATTTCCATCGTATTTTGAATATCGCAGATTGATTCGGTTGTGAGGACGACATGTGAATTACTGTCTTCCAACTCTGGAGATGTTAAGCTGATGTTGCTCTGTTGTCCGTGAGAGGGAATTGTTGCTGGTGGTGCGTCATTATCTAGGCGATCCAGCATTATTATATAAGCACGGTTGTCAGATATATTGACAAAGGTATCTATCTGGAATTGGTCCGCGAAACGAGCTCTTAGTTTTTGTATTAATTCATTTCTGTTCTGATTTTCTGGTTTATTCAATTCGTATATGTATGTGTCAATTATGTAGTCATGGATTGACATCGGTTTAAGAATTCTTGAAGTTTTGACTACTTTTTCATTGATTTCCTCAGTCGTTTTGTTAGCGGATTTTATTTTAATTGTGGGCAGCCCTTCGATGGGTTGAAGAGGGCGCTTTTTGCATTTAAAAGACCATGCCTGGTGTCCTATTTCCCCGCAAGCTAAGCATGATACAGGGAGGTCTGTAGTACAGCTGGTAGTTTTGTGGTTTTCTTTGCATTTACCACATCGCTGTGTTTTTTTGCAAGCATCGGTAGTGTGCGTGAAACATTTCTATTTGTAATGTTTGTGTCTATAGTATAAACCTTCTAGTACAAGTTTTTGGAAAGCGTTGACTTCACCCAAAGCCTACTAGAAATACTATAAAATACTATATTTCTAGTAGGCTTTGCTTCACCTGTTATGATTTTTATTTTTCTCGTTGGATTGTTGGTGGCGCGTGAGATTATTCATTTACAATATCTATGAAAGATAAGTTTGTCATTGAGGAAGTTACTAATATCTTCATCTAGAATATCAAGATCCACATCGCATATGATTACGAAAAATGGGTTGGATTTGTTATTTAGTGTATTTTTTGTTGTTGATCTTGCTCTACTTTCTTCTTTAAAATCGTCTACAATTTGTTTTTCTTTTAATATGTTTAGTAATTTATATACTGTGTTTTTGTTTTCTTTTGATTTATTTAGAAAACCTTGTTTGGTTTCGCTAATTATATCATTATGGACTATATTATTTGTAAATTGAATTTCGCTCCAGTGGAGAGAGAACTGGCTTCTCGTTAAAGTTTTTGATTTTGGAGTAATTTCAAAAATCGTAGTGAATTCTTTGATTAGTGGTTTCATTTTGTCATTAAATGAGTAAGTAATATGTTTATTTCTATTTTCATTTACTTTTTGTGTGTTATTTGTTGAATTATTACCTGGTTTTATAAAATGCAGTTTTTGTGGTTTCCGCCTTGTTGCAGATTTTTCCTTGGTGTTATTTTCAGATCAGGTCTTTTAGTTTGTGTTGATGTAGTTCCTCGTTTGGGTCGTCCACCTTTCCGGCCTCTACCCGCGGAAGAGTATGATCCCTCCGTATCACTCATTACGTAATTAATTTAAATAATTAACATCTTGAAACTTAGAACTTTTAATAAAACACGTCCTTATTGGGTCAATTTCAATATTGATCTTTCTTTTATATTTATATTATCTCTAAAAATTCATTTTAACCATCCATATTATTCACGCCCATATAAAATAACGATCACTACAGCAATAATTGGAGGAAATTTTCAATGATTGTCGCGAAATAACGAGGTGTTATAAATTAAACGGAAAAAATATCGTTGATATCGATAATAAAAATGTACATATCATGTCTGGTACAACCGTTAAACTTCATAAAACAATCAAAAATGTCCCGGTTCCAATTTAAATGCAAATTTATTATCGATGGTCCGATCGCGGGAAATCGTCCGAATAACTTTTTTCCGATACATCAATAGCGACCCCCTCTCTGTCAGCAATTTTCCACATCAAAAAAGCGGGACGTTCAATGACAAAAATCAAATTATAATACCAGAGCAGTAAATGAATTTTATGGCGTGTGGTCGCGAAAGCGAAAATTTGTCCTGGAAAACATACAGACGACGACAACTGTAAAAACAACGAGAAACGCCGGCGCTCGTCGGTGTGCTAATTTTGACGTTGGTGTTCACCAAGCGTACGTAACCGAATTAACAGACGATGTTTCTCCGACGAAACATATTCTGTTTTGTACCATTCTTTGTTTAAATAGAACTTTTCATTTCCCATATGATTCAAAACTGTAAATTTACAATATTGCTAATTAATAATGTAGTAACAAACAATTCAATTAATAGTTACGCACCTTAAGTAAATTCCCTGTGGTCATGTTGTTATCGTCCTGATTTGACACTTAATTATTAAGTGCTTTAAGCGAAATCGTTGTTGCGATTATATGTGAAAGCTTCCCTCGACCAGTTGGGTCAAATGTTTTAACTATAAGGAAGTTACCGAGTGACGTCTAACACACTACCCAGAAGTTAGTCAGATTAAATCAGTTTCAACTTTATGTACAGCTATGCTTGAACAGGTATAACAGATTCACTTTGTCCCTTTTAAACACCTCTAAACCGTTTATATAACTAATTTATCTCTATGACATTAATTAATTGTTCTTAAAAGTGATTATAACTCAAAAACTAAATCTTATTATTAACGTTAAATGGGATTAGGGCTATATAACGAGTCTCTAATAACATTCCTGTAGTTAGTTGTACTTCAGAGTCAAAAATCTCAAGTGCCGAAAGAAAACATTTTTTCACTTTGTCAGACGCAAATTAAAATCTTTTTAAATAGCTATTTTGAAGAAGAACTGCTTCCAAATGATGCAAATTTTTTTTCCGGAATAAACAAAAACGTTGAATGCGTATTGTAAAANTTGAGATGGCTGCCTAAATATTTTCAGAATTAAAAAAAAAACATTTCTATTCCATTGTTACCCAAAGGGCTGTTAAATAGCCAAAGGTTACATTAGAGTATTTTTTTGTTATTTTGTGCATTCATGAGCTGTTTAACTGTTGGTTTCTAACGACCCACTGCATAATGTAGCACCTTTACCTAACAAGTACTGTGGATGCATTCGAATAACAATAATTTTCTTCTGCATCTTTATTATGTTTTTTATGAGTGAACTTTTAAATTTGCATATATTTTAAAATCGTTGACGTTTCGTTGATACATTTATAGTTGTATATTGAAGGAACGACATGTAATTGTTTTAAATATTCGATAAGTGTGTCAGCAGATGTAGTTCCGCGTTTGGGTCGTCCACGTTTCCGTCCTCTAGTCACGGAAGAAAATGACCCCTCCGTGTCACTCATTACGTAAGTAATTTAAATATTTAACTTCTAAAACTTCTAAAACTTTAAACTTTTTAGTAAAACACGTCCGTATTGGGCAAAGCCACTAACCGGGACAACCAAACATTAAATCTAATAATGGGAAAACATAGGAGAAAAATATAAAATAACAACTTATTGCACTGGATTAATGTAACACCTTTACCTAACAAGTGTGGTACTGTGGATACATTCGAATAACCTTCTCATTAGTGGATAAATAATAAAAATGGGTAGGAGGACTAATATTTGTATCTAATGGTATGATTGCTGTATCTATAGAGGTTGTCGCTATTTTATACTACAAATAATGATGCATATATTCTGTGCTGTCAAAGACATTACACATAAAAAAACAGTTTTCTTGTTTGTCAATAATTATGGCGATGATTTCAAATACAGTAGGCAATTCAGGGAATATATCATTTTTCTTATAAATTACATATTTTTGTTTATATACCGTTCCTTTAAAAACGACTTCTTTTAACCCTACAACATGGTGAAAATCGAATTGTTTATGATTATTTCGAAATGAGTCAAATTTGCTATCTAGAAAATCAATGGATGTAAGTTTTTTATGAAATATTTCTTCAGAAAAAAAAAGAATTTAAAAAAATCGCGTTCGCAAATTCTAACTGAGCTTTTATTGCTAATGTTAGTGGAATATTTACTCGTGAGTAAAGTATAACAAACTTTTGGCGTAAGTTTTCTGCTTTTGATGCATTGCTTCAAAGCGAAAACACCACTGGTTACGAAGTGGTCCGCTATTTTTAATTATATGCACATAGTGGACTAAAAAATGATGTTTAGGTTTTAGAGAATCTGAAAACAACGTGGTATATAAATTATTATGTAATTTTATTAAGGTATCGAGTTGTGTTAAGTCTTCGTTCGTAAAATGGGATTTTAATACTAAATCTATTATTTGGACGAATATGAGTAAAAACTCATAAACAGCGTCTGATGTTGGTATTAAATCACCAATAATTAGTGTTATAAAATGTATAAAGCATTTCATTTCCGATGCTGTCATCTTAAAGCATTTATTTTTAATATGGTTATATTCTATTGGTTGTGAAAGATTGTCTATTTCAGTAGCTCCGTATTGAAACATTTGTTTTCGATAATTCAGAGTTTCCAGTGAAAAATATTTTTTTTTAATGAAATGTTTTAGAATATGATGCAAGTTATACCTGCAAATTCCATTAAATATGTCGTGCATGATATCAGAGCATAAATTGTCTGTTACATGATATGAAGAAATTTGATTGAGCACAGAGTTCTCCCTTATTCCAGTCAAATATGGATTATTTAGGGAAACATCATTATGGTAATTATCGACATTTCTTAATAAGTTGTCCATTTGATGACATTCAACTTGTGTATTTTCTTTACTCTGCTTGCAAAACCTACAGAAATAATTGGCCGAAAATGATGTTGCAAAACCTAAGATATCATTTAAAGCCAAGTTATCGCCAAGAATTAAACCAAGTTGGAAATAAACATGTACTTTTTTTTTTGTTATTTATGTTTAAAGTTATGCCCTCGCGTTGTAATTTGTTTATATCATCTGTAAACTTGGTGAAACACCGCATATTTCCAAATTCTCGAATATCACACGATTTCAAAAATCCTAGCACTAAAATATTGCTTAGTTTGGATAATTGAAAGGCAGGAATAGTTGGAAAACATGAGTATATACCGCAAAGCTTGTTAACACCAGCATGCGAACTTAAGGGATCATTAATTTCAAAATCATACAAATAAATAAAAAACGGAATAATAATATTATTGGAAATCTGACATTGTGTTTTCTTCTTCCATAAAAACCCGTTAATAAAATTACTCAACTTATTACAATTTTGAAGACGCTGCATATTTTGTATGGTTAATTCAAAATTGTTACCCGTTTCAAAATATTTCTTAAACTGAAAATGTAAATCTAAAATGCAACCTTCTACTAATCTGCTTTCTATTGTTGGTGAATTATTAACAATTATTTCTGAAACAGAATTGCTAATTGTAAAAGATTTTGGATGTTGATATATACCAATATCCGTGATAACTTTAAAAAACTTGTATTCTGTGTCAATGCCTTTAAACGGGTTTTGAAGTGTTTCGCTTAAATATTTTACTTTTTTGAGAACCAAGTCATTATGTATAAAAGGTATAACATCGGAATGTATGTATTCGGACATTGGCGTGGTAATTGTAAACTTGATACTGTCCTGAATATCTAAAATATTTTTTCTTGTCAAATTCTTTTTAGAGTGTAACTGTAAAAGAAACGCCACAAAGCTTCGTTTAATATTAGATTCCACATTGTTATACACATTGCTTGTGTAGGCTTTGTTGCACAAATCACTTGTTTCTATATTAATGGGGCACACAGAAGACTGATTTTCTTGTTGAAGATTATCTTTTGACTGACTTTTATCTATTTTTAAAATATTTAAGGAACATCGCTTTTCTTCTGTATCTTTTTCATGTTTTGATAAGTGGATTTTGAACTTGTATATATTTTGAAATTGTTGGCAACAGCATGTTTGAATACATTTATAGTTGTATATAGAAGGAACGCCATGTAAGTGTTTTAAATGATCAATAAGAGTATGAGCAGTCTCGAAGGTAAAGGTGTTACATATAAAACAACCAAACATTTTATCTAATAATAGCAAAACTAATATAAGATGTATATAAATAACATATATATCAAACAATTATTAGTACAAAATAACAACTTATTTCCGATTATCCAATTTGTTAATAAAGCTTGTAACCTGTGCTATATTTTGGCTGATACCATAAAAATATTCGTTTATAAATGCCCACACGAATTTACTTACTGGGGAATATTCTAAATTGAAAACGTACGTAAGCTTAATTACTGTATCAACACATTCCAGAAAAGAGGGTAATTTATATTTTATATTGTCACTATACACGTAGTATTCTTTTAATTTGTCTGTACCTACAACTACAATACGAGGTTGTACCTTAATCTTCTTCTTGCTGTAGGAGGCCCTCAAATTATCGATTTGTGGTCCAATGTCGTTTATCGTATTAACACGTAAGGCGAAATCCTGTTGAGAATCTGTTATAGAGGGTTTGTACGTCCTACTAATACGCCGTGGTTGTAAAATAGCGTGAAGCAACAACAGTGTGTAGTAATCTCTAGAATCTGTAAACATAACTCAAATAATTTTTTATAAATTAATGAACACCTTAAACTCACCTTCATCGAGTTCTGAATTTTTTAATATTTTGAATTGTTTGGCACAATATTTATCTTTAATATCCGATTCGAAAATTGTCATAATTTTTGTTTTGAAATTGTTGAAGCCTGTTGTTAATTTTTGTTGATAATTAGGGAATAACACCAGGAAATCTATGTTAACCTAATGTTTAAAATATATTATTAAATGTTTTTCTTGTTATTTTGATTACTTTATCTTACCAACTCGTATCCTTTTGCATCGTTATATCGTGGCCATGTTTTTAATAAATTATCAAGCGATTCATCCTTATTTTTAAGCATTGACAGCCGATAATTTGAAGTTTTGGTCCAATAATCTTTTATTCTATCCCATTGACTTGGATCGCAGTTGGTGTTCAAAAAAGCGATATAATTCTCTATTTCATCTGAAACCAAAATAGGTAGTTAAGTACGTATTGAAGATAACATTCAATTAAATAAATGCTACTAAGGGCCACTTTTACCTTCTTCTTGTTAAACTTATACTATAGATATTTTCAGCTGTCGGCCAATCAAGAAGTTTAAATAGTAGTAATCATGTCAATAATCTGCCGGTTAAATTAACCAACAACGATGGTAAAAGTGGCTTTAATAGATTTTAAGTATTACTAATTTTGTTATAAGAAGCAAAATAGATACTTATCATACTGTAAATAATGTTAGCTTTGAATTTTGTATCAAATTAGTAATAAAATCATAAAAAGATTGTATTCTTACTTGTGTCATAATCAATCGGCTCTCCAATAATATCACTATGTGAGACATTTGTATCTAATTTAAGTTTCTTTGTGCAAAATTTTAAGTTAAAATATCGATCATACAGCTTTCCACTAGGATTTACTTTACATCTTCGTGGCGTATAATATGTCAACTACGGAATATAAAAGAGAAATAACGGTAACAAAAGAAAATAACGTTAAGACAACACTCACCGGTGATTCGCTTGGAAATAATTTAACAATGCTTCTACTAAAATAATCAAAATGATGAGGTTTCACCTTTGCATACTTTAAAACCATATAATCAACCACAATATGGACAAGATACGTTTGGACTTGTTTATCCAAAATGTTATGTTTGTTATAATACTCTAAAACAAGTTTGCCCTTCACATTCTCGTTAAGAAGCGTTTCAATATCTTTACTATCGGTCAAAAGGTTGTCATAATCCTAAAACGTAAAAATACGAAATGAAGAAAAAGAAAAACTCGACATTTAGGTGTCTGCGTAAATATTCTTACTGCGGTTGCATTTACTGGAGAATTGCGGACTGACGAAGAATCATGTGAAGTCTTTCGGCTAATTGTAGTCGCCAACGGCGTAAAATATCCCTATTAAAATAACATTACAATAACAAAATTCGCATTGCAATTGGTATTGCGCGATATAATTCGTGCAGTTATATAACTTACGTGCAGTTCTTTCCACTCAAACAACTTTTGCCTAAATTTAATTCTTAATCCAAATCTATCTAATGGAATTAAATTATCAACGTCTTGCACAGTTAGAACCTTAAGAACCTCTATGTCTATACCCTTTTCTATAATAAAAAATAAATAAATAAACAGGATATAATTTCGGAACTAACAGCGGCGAATTTTCATAATATAAGATCAATATAAGATCATACCTTTGAAATCTGTAATTAAATCGGGCAAATTCCACTCTTCTAACAATTGAGCGACGTACTCGAAGGAATCCATGTCAAACATTGTGCTTTAATGAATGAAAAAACCTAACGAAGAAATAATTTAAAACAAAAGTTATAAACTTCTAAAAAGACAAAAAAAAAATGAAAGAAAATAAAATAATTAAATTAATGTAGTTCATTTATTTATACAGGTGCCCCAACATTTTGGGACCCCCGTTTTTCTCTTAATCGACACAGGACAAAAAGGTCTACTTTTTGAGGTTAGTGTTGTGACTTTATCACTTCCGGTTAGACCGGAAGTGGATGACAATTTCACTATTTTTCAGAAATATTTTAAATTTATTTAACGATTTGTTGTTCTTTATAGAAAGAATTTGTTCTTTATCTTTTTTAACAAATTTGCGTTTAAGCTTTAGTACTTGACGGATCACCGTAAGAATTCAATTAAAAAAAGTAATATTAGTATCTTCTTTTTTTCTTCCAGAGCTAACTTGATCAATTGATAAATAAAGTAGAATAAATTAAAAAAATTCAAAATTTTTAAGCAAGAACTTTTTTTAAAACTGAAGCAAGAGGTGGTTTGTTTGTTCGAAAATTGTAAACGACTCAAAAATAATTTTTTTCAAATAAAAGTTATGTGGTATTATGCCATTTAACAAACTGTTAAATAAATTGTAAATATTTCTTAAAAATAATGAAATTGTCATCCATTTCCGGTCCAACCGGAAGAGATAAAGTCACAACACTAACCTCAAAAAGTAGACCTTTTTGTCCAGTATCGATGTGTTAAATATCAAATCTGTGGTAGTTATAGTTTAAGAGAAAAGCGGGGGATCCCTAAAAGTTGGGACACCTGTAGTAGTGATGTAACGGATATCCGCATCCGCATCCGCAACTACGGATAATCCGCGTTGTTTTGACAATCCGCATCTGCATCCGCATATAAGTATATTTTAACGGAGCTCCGGTCAGATCAGCGTTCGGTATTAATACATTATTTTTTTAATTATTTGATCAATCAAGCTATCAAACAAAATTAATTAAAAAAATAATAATTACGTTTAATGCCCTATTAACCTACAGTATAATTATTGTAAATTATAAAGTTTTTCAGTAACACCGCATCCGAAAACCCGCATCCGCCAAATTAGAATTAAAAAATCCGGTTCCGCATCCGCTAAACCCACATCCGTAACATCATTAACCTGTAGATATATCTATATCTATAGATTTATTCTTTTAAATTCCGTAAACAAATGAATACGGTGTCATTTTAAAAAATATGACGATGACGTCATATCTGAGTGGCTGTGACGAAACACCGTCTGTTAAAAAATTAACAAGTCTTTTTCGTAAAATCTCTAATCCTCCTTTGGTATTTAAACCAAATTTCATTAATGCTCTCTGCAACTCGGACTTTTACAACCCGTAAGTCTATGATACTCTAAATCTGAACCATGCATTTTCTTCCGCTATCAAGGCCCGGGACTGGGCCATTCTTGATTATACTTAACAATAAAACTTATTAATTAATAACTTATTAACAACGAAAAAGGAAAATAAAACGAATCTGCTTCGTACGAAATAAAAAAACAGAAACGCAAAACAATTGTTGTGTACCGCCGCCACCGATGTTGGGCAATTTATTAAATTAAACAACTTTCTTCTGTTCTTAATTTTAGTTAAATTTTATTTAAGAGACGACGATGACGACCGGTAACAATTTGTTCTAAAACTAACTGATCAACTCGATCTAATAGAGACGACTAACTTAATGTGACTGACTTGACTTTTCGACTGCCCTTAGTGAAGTGCCTTTTCGGCTTAACCCCCCTGTTCCTAGTGAACTCTGTTTTTACAGCAGTGCTTCCCACGCAAAATATCATATAACTAAGTATGTTTCCATCTGTTTCTTGATATACGCAGAGACAAGGAGAATTAGGGGTTGTTCCCATCTGGTTCCGTCCCCTGATATATTTATTATTCACACATGTCTCTGGTGGTTGTTTGGTTTTTAGTTACAGAATCATTACTTTTGATACCTACATTATTATATTGTAAACTTATTATATTCCTATTATTATAAAGATAAATACTACGTGAGTAGTACTACGTAGACGGGTGGTACCACAACACAATAAAATAATAATACAAGAAAACAATAACGAGAAGAAACGAAAATTAATATTTTCTTCTTAATAGAAAACGAAATCCACTATTTCTCTTGCCTCGAAATAATAAACAAAAATCAAATCCCGGCTGTAAAAATACTATCGATTCATATCCAAGTTCTGCAAAAAACAAGTCGCTGCTCGGTAACAAAAGCAACGGTTCGCTCATAGGCGCCAAATTCTGTGACGTAGTTCCGTATCCCACACAATCACGTCGGTCAACGGTGTCTCGGGCGCCACCTTTCGCTGTATAAAGAGGTGGAGGTCCTCTGTTCCCTTTACGTAACTGTTAGAAAAATAAACCTTGGATTTTAAATTTAAAAAAATATAATATATCCTTTAGTAAAATTTTATTAAGAACAATAACAACAATAAAAGCAAAAACGGAAATCGACTTTCAATACAAAAATTTTAAAAAATATTCGTAGCTAAACAATCCTCTGCACAAACTAAACATATAATTGTTTAAAAAAGAAAGAAAAGGCCTTCTCTAATCAACAGTCAATTTAATTTTTACACCCGAGAGAAAACTTTTATGCTTCAATTCCGCCTGCGGAAAACCTCACAACAATACTAATAAATCCGCCACCATTTTGTTCACGTGATATCAACGGACTCCGCCGTAATTCTACTAACGACAAGATATCCTACAATTCTGTCCGTGGAAAGTTCGGAACAATACTGTCACGGAAAATAAACAAGCCGCGACTCTACCAGAACTTTCATCTACCCTTATACATTTTTTACTTACTTGATCTTTTCCACTGGACCTACTGGACTGGACGCACTCACTGACTTACACCTCAAGCAACCACTAGTAATGACGGTAATGACACGACCAACACTACTACCAACGCTTCCAACCACTGTTCTTCCAAACGTGTTCAAACATGTATGAATTTCATATCTATCCCTACCACTCCCAAAACCGTTATTCCCTTCCTTCCTTTTCTTAAAAAACAACCAATACCTATATGCAACGTTATTTTCCTGGTATAAAAATTAGCGACCTCTTCGCATCTTTTTCCATCACTTCTTTCTTTCCTTCTCTCAGTCTACTTTTAAAAGGTCAGGGGCGTATTTCGGATTATTAATTTTTAAAATAAAACAATATTTATAATTAAAACTGCAACTTCGTTACGGCACCGACCTGTTATTTGCTAAATTGATAACGATAACTAAATGATGGTATGATACATATTAATAACTTACCAATATTACAAACAGGTGACTTACAGATACCACTTGCTTGATTAATAAAGAAAAATGGCAGGCGCCAGTTGAATCGACTTGTCGTCTTGATGGCGGCGCGTCCCTTTGTCAGGGCTAGCTGCATTATATAGCGCAATCTTAAAAAAATATTTTGAAACTTTCAGTTAAATAACAAAATTCAAAGCACGTATTTTTAATTTATAATACGGTATTAACAACTTACCTTAATTTATTTAGTTTATGCCTTAGTTTAAACATCACTCTTACGCGAGCAGAAATGAATAAACGTTTTCCATAAAAACTGTCGCACATATTTCGGAATATGTTTGTTGTAAATATTACGTATCTTTACTATTTTTAATTATTTAAGCAATCTGTACTTTTTAAAGAGATTGAGAATTTGCTTAATCCGAAATGAGTAAATGTTTTCTATAAAAACATTCGCATTTATTTCGAAATATATTCGTCCTAAATATTAATTGTATTAATTGTATTCGATTGGATGCTCTAATTGTAATGCCATATATGTTGGCCAGACGGGACGTACGCTTGGGGCACGTGTTCGCGAGCATAAAAATAAAACTAATTCCAACATATACAAACATCATATTGAAACAGGACATAACATCAATTACAAAGATATTAAACTTTTACACAAATGTAATAAAAGT